TAAAAGATACCACATATCTAGGTGCCAGTAAGACATGGAGTTGGTATAATAGAAAGAGTTCTGAACTTTGAAACTGATCTTCATTGGTTCTTAATTTCTTTGTGTCAAATAATTAGGTTCATTCATATAAACTAAGGTCTTTTCTCTTCTCAAGAAATTAGAGAAGGAATGGGTGTGATACATACAGACTGTTGGCAGCCCGATGCTCTTATTTCAGGCTAAATTTTAATACTCGTATCCCTATTTTTATTGAAAGTGATAGTCACTTTTGGTAAAAGGAATATGTATATATGTGTATTTACATGAGAATAAAATATTTCATGAGTATCCTTTTAGCATAATCTGTCATCAAAGGCTTTTGTAGGATCTGTTCTTAACTCTGGAATATAGAAAATTTTTCCTTTATTTTTCATGATTTTAAAATACTAATCAATTGAATATTACAGCATTATCCTGTTTCTTGCTGCCTTAAAATCTCCAGAATTCTTTGCAACACTTTGTCTTTTGATGGTGATCTCCTTATGCACTGTTTGCCTCTGTTGTGGTGGAAATGATGTTTCCAGTTTCCAATCTATTCAAGCTATTATTACTTGAGTCATTTCTTAATATTTACCTTTGCATTGTGGCCTTCCTTTTCATCATTTGAAGAGTTCCAAATAATCAGTTTTCAGAGAGGAACTCAAAGCAGGAAAACAGCTATAAACAAGCATTCAGTTTTAAAAGTCTTTTTTTTTTAATCAAATGTCAACATGACTTTTCTGCAAAATGCATTCAGTTGTGAAGTAAAAATATTTAAGATGATGATGATGTTTAGCTCTGAGAACAATCGTTCTTGGTTTTTCTGCATGTCTGATCTTTTCCACAGAGTGGGAAGAAGTGTTGAAAGTTTATAGAGAAAGATATAGTAGATGAATTAATTAAGAGGCTTCTGAGAAGAAGGTGTTTGCAAAGTTTTGAAAATGGTAAATGTAATGGTAAAGGTGTGTTTTCTGAAATATTTTTAAATTTAGACTTCTTTATTAATCTTTTCTTACATGTGTAAGAAAATCTTTTCTTACATGTGTAAACTATAGGATAAAGCTAATTATGGTTGAATGCCTGCAATTTAAAGAGTTAGAGACAGAAATTTGGAAAACAGGAGATGTTTGCTGTCTTTGAATTCATTGCTGGAGCGCCACTTAGATCCAGGTAACATGAATGCTAGTAAGCATTTTTCTTGTGGTATTATGCATCAGTAAGTATCTGAAACAGATAAATCTGAAAGTTTCAGAGCATAAAATGTAATCAAATTGGTAATTTCTTCATAATTGGTGCAAATGTAACTAAATTAACTACCAGATTGGTTTTTGTATTCAGGTATTTTCAGAAATACAGGTTTGTGAAGTAACCTAAAATCAAAGTACAAGAATTGGTGGACAGATTTTTAGCACATGTACTCTGTTAAATCCATATATAGTGCATGAATCCATGGTGACCTGGGGATTGAGGGCTCTCCCCTCCATTAGAGTTCCATCCCCAACTGGGGAGGGGACCCACATGGTACAGCACACCTCTCCTGTCTCTCCTGCTGCTCCCCTCATTAAATCCACCTTTTCTGCTCCTCACCACTCACTCTCTGGTATATCTTGTCACCCCCCACACCTTCTGTCCTGTAACCCAGTTTCTCTGTGAAAAAATAAAGTGCCTGACCTTCATAAAAATTTTCTTTTACAAATTAAGGAAGGTACTTTGTGCTAAGTTCTCACAGTGTCAGGTTCTATTGAAAAATTATGAAAAGATAAAAAGACAACTAGTGTTGATAAATTTTTGTAAAATTTTTACTTAACACTTATTTGTAGTTTAATTACATACCAGTCATTGTGTTTTTAGACAGTTCTACATATTTTCATGTTTTTTGAGAGTATACTTTTGCTAATGATAATTTTCCCCAAGTTGTTTACCAGTAAGCCACATTTAACTTAATATAAAGCTTTTAATCTCATATTTTTTAGTGGAAGTTTGACACTGCTCAGTAATTTCAGTAAAAGGGTATTTTATGTTGCAGTGTTTTTTAAAATTATGATTATTTATCGGGATCTTCCCTGGGTTAAAGCACAGCACTATGAAGCGATTTGCAGCTACTGCAGCATGAGTTTTGATCCCTGGTCAGGGCAGTGACCCACATTGCATGGCAGACCTCTCCTGACTGGTCTTCTCAGCAGTGTACTTTGTCAGTCTGCCTATTCTGCTCCCTGCTGTGTCTGGTGAATTCTCTTACCCCTCGCACCTCTGGCCAGTTCTTGTATGTATAAATAAATAAATAAATCTTCTAAAAATGATTATTATAGCAGACATTTTATATTATACATGTTAATGATACAAGAAAAAATAGTGATCTAAGTGGAAACAGAAGTAAACTTACTTCATGTCAAAAGCGTTTTGCCTTGCTTGCTTTTCACAAAGTCATTACTTTGGAACCCCTGACAACAGCGTATACGTTTGAAATGTTTTTGGATTATCTGTAAGCAGCATTATGTATCTTATCTTTTCATGGAGCTTTATTCTTACACTTTCTACGGGTTGGGGGAGGCAAAAGAGGACTTCCAGACATTTTTAAGGAAGGTATTTTTTCTTTATACAACATATTTTCTATTTTTATTATACTGTTTTCCTATTAGGCTCCTTTGTTGGAGGACGACTTTCAATTGCCTAGCTTTAAATACTTAGATTGTGAAGGTTTGTTGCTTTTGCCTTTGATTTGCAAAATTACACCTACTTACTTCCCTGGTACATTTAATATATAGGGGTCTAGATAATACTCTGGAAACAGACCAGAATTAAATAGGTTTCTTATTTGAATATGAATCCATGACTATTCAAATAATTATATTCCTGCCTTCTACTCTGTGTCTTCTACTCCCTGCTCAGTAAACTATACTGTGTGGACCCAAACTTATTTCTGACTCATTTAAAGGTTAATGTAGCAGAAAATAAAACTCACCTTTCTTTTAACCTTGTTGGTGGAGTTGGTAGGGGGTGGATTGTGTGTATCTGACATATTCTGCTACTCTCTAGAGAAATGTTCTATCTGCATTTATCGGTATCATTTGGAAGATTCAGGGAAAGTCACTAGTGTAGATTGTTTCTCATATTAGGTTTAAACTTGATAAGCACATCTGTAGTGTTAGCTTTAGTTGGCACTCAGAATATACTTGTTGATTAAATGAGGAAATTTGGATTCTAGTTCCAGCTCTTCTGCGAAGTTGACAGTTTTCTGCTCTGCTGTGCATACTCTATTAGAATCCAACTGGTTTGAATTTCCAAGGACTGAGTGCCAGAAAGTACCATGAGTCAAGATAATCAGTGTTTTGAGAAACAAGCAACTAGTGTGCTATGCTACTCTAATGAAGAGAGGAAGACCTGCTGTGTGCTGCTTTAAGATGGAGTGGCCAGAATGAGTGAAGACTTGGTTTAATCCACTCTTGAACCAGATATACTTTGTGGCATTAGTTGTTCTTACATAAGAATATAGTTCTGGTTATGTAGAGATTGCCCACGGGCTGGGCCATTTTATTTCTGTTATGAATAGTCCAAATTTCATTTGGCCTTGGGCCAGTAAAGTAGTGGTTAATTTTATGGATTCTTTAGAACCACTTTGAGAATAATTTCTTTTAAATTATTATTCTTTGTGCAATTAAATATAGAACATTAAATTTTGACGTACACCCTCTCCTTCCCACTTGCACTGTCATTTATTTCCCACCCACTTTTAGCCAACATTACATCGAGCTTCAGTTTTCTTTTTATCTCTTCTTCCATCTATCAAACTCTTTCTTCTCTATGACACTGTATATGGCGGATGTGCTCTGTGTATGAATATTTGATCAAGGCCAGCTAAGTATCTGGGTGCAAAGAAACTGTATCACACTTGTTCTGGCTCTGCTACTTTGTAGCATTCTCTGAACAGTGAGGCAGCTACTAGGGGCAAAAAAGGAGTGGTTCTCTAACCTTTCCTTCTTTCAGATTGAATTTAAAAGTGTGGCATTCTAGTTCTCCTTGTTGGAGCATCTTGCTTGATCCAGAGTCAAGAATCACCTCTTTGAATCCTACTGAATAGTTCTTCCGGAGAGAGATGACTGATTCTTCCCTTTCCCTCCCCTATTTCTATATTAGCTGCTGCATGAGTTTCAGAAAGGTATTCACATTTCCTTGACTGCAGGCCTTTCTAAATTAGAGTTATGAGTTTCAGAAAGATATTTATGATTCCTTGACTACAGGCCTAGGGAACGTGCTAGAGGAGGCGAGCAGGTTTCCTTGTGGACCTGGTTGTCTTTGGGCACCACAGGGCCATCTTTTGCCTCTTTGGGATTTCGTAGTTCTTTCTGTCTTCATATTTCCAAAGGTCCTAAGATTCAAGCTACTGCTACTATTTGATATCTTTTGACTCTAACTATTACAGTTTGATGATATGCTTACATTTCTAGGTAATTTTTTAAATCATGCTTTAGTAATGGTGTACCCAGTAGGAAAAAGCTATTTATTTGCCATTGAGAGGCCATTTGCTCTTAAAGTTTTAAGAGGATAGGGGAATTTCAGAGTGTAAGAATTAGCTAATAGGAACATCTTGCTATATGCTTTTTATTTATTTATTTATTTTTAAAGATTTATTTATGCATACAGAACTGGGGTATAGGCCAGAGGTGCAGGGGCTATGAGAAGACTCACCAGAGACAGAGTGGGGAGCAGAACAGGCAGATCATCGAAGTACATTGCTGAGGGGAGCAGCGGGCGGGTCAGGAGAGGTCTGCCACGCCATGTGGTCACCTCCGGGGCAGGCAGGGATCGAATTAATGCAAAAGTGGCTTTAGCTTCTTAGTGCTGTGCTCTAAACCGCTGCACCGCCAGGGAGGGCCCTGCGTCTTGCTATGCTTTTAATGAAAGAATCAAAAAAGGAATGAACAGGTGCTTTTAATACATCTTTTATAAATATTGGTTTTGATACAACTTTTTCTTTCTCTCAGTTGCTTTAGGTCGTAACCAGCCTTTGAAAAAGGAGAAACCAAAATGGAAAAGCGATTATCCTATGACAGATGGACAGCTGCGCAGCAAGAGGGATGAGTTTTGGGATACTGCACCAGCATTTGAAGGCCGAAAAGAGATATGGGATGCATTAAAGGCTGCGGCACATGCTTTCGAGAACAATGATCACGAACTGGCACAAGCAATCATTGATGGTGCAAACATAACATTACCACATGGTAGGTCTAGCCCTGTAGGACATGGGGAACACCAATGACTCATTTTGTATAGTAGGAATCACAGTGGGAAGTTTTCTTTTTTTCTTAATGTACCAAGAAGTAGTGTTCTTCCTTGCTTCTTTGTGTATCTTTCAGCTGAAGAAAGGTTTTAGTTTGTTTTTAATTTTTTAATCTCAAGAAAGAGAACACTTGATAACCTCTGTTTTCTAGTTTCCATATAGTCTAGTTCTTCAGCTTCCTCCCTCCCCCGTATCTTTTAGAATCACTGTTTCACATACTCTTCAGCACTGCAGGGGCACTTTCAGTTTAGATCTCAGAGACTATAAGATGGGTGGTTGCTCTTTTAGTCATTACACTTTCTTATCAAACCTGTTTTTAGCATAATGAGCAAACCTAAACTTAGAATTGTTCTTAAGGGCAGTATTCAATGATTATGGCATTGAGTATTACTAGAAACCTCCCTCCTTTGCTTTAAAATGTGACCCCGAGGACAGTGTACATTTTGAATGTTTCCAGAGGCAAGCATGTTCTAGACCCATGGTCATCCTCTTATTTGGTCTCCTTTATTAGAAATACAAAAACTTGTACACTGAGAATTAACATGTTAGTTTTGTATTTAGTCTTTGTTCTTTTGACTACTGTATCTGTAAGTTTTTGAAGTTAATATTTTTCTGCATTGTTTTTGTTCACACATATATATCCACCTATATTCTCTTGCATTGTTTTCAACTATTCATTATCAGCCATAAAGGGAAGGGCCTTTCTTACTATATTTTCAGTTTCTTTTTCATTATCTTTTTTTCTCTACATTTTTAGAGCAACTTTGCTTTTCACTGTTAATCATCTACTTTATGTCTTTCAAATAAAAGATATTTAAGGGATCCTCCTGGGTGGCACAGTGGATTAAAGCACAGCACTAAGAAGCTAAAGCCACTTCAGCATGAGTTCCATCCCCACCCTGGAGGTGACCCACATAGCACAGCAGACCTCTCCTGACCTGCCCGCTACTCCCCTCAGCAGTGTACTTCGTTGATCTGCCTGTTCTGTTCCCCATTCTGTCTCTGGTGAATCCTCTCACCACCCCTGCACCGCTGGCCTGTACCCCAGTTCTGTATGCATAAATAAATATTTTTTTAAAAGGTTATTTAATATGCTATCCATCATAATTTTCTAAATCTCTATTAATTTGTTGACATGGGTTTGTATTAATGACATTTATTGAGTACCCACTGTATGTAGATCATCTCTTTCTACACAGGTATAGAAACGATCCCTTCTGCATTTGAAAACTTATATTAGAATTTCACTTTGATATGACTTTTTAGTTTACTTGCATGACTAGTCTCAATTCTTTTTAAAAAGAGATTTATCTATGCATACAGAACTGGGGTGTAAGCCACAAGTCCAGGGACAGTGAGAGGATTTGCCAGAGACAGTGGGGAGCAGAACAGGCAGATTAAGTACACTGCTGAGGGGAGCAGCGGATGACACAGGAGAAGTCTGCTACACCATGTGGGTCACCTCCCTGGCTGAGATTGAACTCATGCAGTGGCTGCAGCTAACTCTTAGTCCTGTACTTTAACCCGTTCATCCTCCAGAGTGGGTCCCGTCTCTAAATTCTTTATTACATATGTGTTCGGGATAGATATCATTTCACTCCATTACTTTTTTCAGTTACAAAAATTGTCTTCAAATATTGCCTTTATTAATATAAAGGAAAGGCCTGTAAAGGATTTTGATTTCCTTTACAAATAGTTTTCATCATCTTTTTTTTTTTTT